TCTACATGGTGTACACATTAGGGCACACATTACCTAAATAAAGTACACGTGGAACGATCGACCTTGGGCAGGTAACAAGATGATTAAACTTTGTAAAATTAATTGTTTTTTTTTTTTTTTGTAATCTACATATGTGCAATCTATCACACAATAACGATTAGCACTGACTGTGATAGTTTATATTGAGCGGTGTATCACAATGATATTGTTTAGCTTGTACCGGTAAATCTGAATGGTAGGTGCAGAAAATGAATTTATGGATGCGTTCTGGTTCGTTCCAAACCGTTTCCAACAACTTGCGATAAAAATTCTGACAGTCGTCGAAATGACTTTTGTCTCCAGCTGCGATATACGCATTTCTCGAAGTGTCATCTCACATTATTGTGTACACTAGCTGCAACTGATAAACGTATCGTGCTAAAGGACGTTCTAAAAGTGTTTCATCTGAGGCATTAATCAGTTCTTCTTCAGTTTTGTACCTACGAGGGAAGTTGAACGAAGGCAATATTTAACCCTTTGCACTCGAAGGCCCTTTTTTCCGTAAGGAAGTAGCAAAATTTAATGTAATTTTTTAAAACTAACAATTTTATTACAAGTTGGTTCTTTCAAACTATTTCACTGCTGAGATCTCTAAACATGTAGTGAACAATTCACGGTGGCCCCTGTAAACCTGCTGTCTTGGAAATCATTATCCTTAGAGTTGCCTCTAATGGTAAATATAACGTCGCTTCTTAGTCGCCTCAAAGATTGCAAAGGGTTAATGTTTCTTTACCTACGGAGGAGGAGTAGTGTGAATGAAATAAGAAAAAAATTGTGCGATGATGATACCGTTAATAATTTTAAAAATGAGCTATGGTTTAATAGTAGAAATTTCCAAAGAATTTCCTTTGAAATTTCAACGTACAAAGTTAATTAAACGAGAGCTAAGATATACAAGGGAGAGGCAATATTTTAAAAATCTCGCAGAAATCAGTTTCGTTACATTTCAATTAATTTGCAACGACAAATGACCGCGTTTCAATTTGCAATTCTCTGTTAAAACGACATAAAAATCACTCGTTTTTAAAACGATCAATTAACTAGACATGAAGAATGGGTTATTTTTAAATGGACACTTTTTACGAAATTTACGAAATCCTTTTTAAGAAACGATCGAGAACACAGATATTGAAATAAGTAACACGATATGCTAAATTTTGCGAAAGTTCGATGAAAAATACGGAAAGGCGGGAACTTTATGGTTAATCCGTTGAAACAATTCGTATGAATCACCGATCGACAGTGGACGAAAACAATAAATATAACAAGCTATTTATAAAATGTATATTTTACGCGTGCGAAAAAAATGTGCGAATCCTTCACAGTTCCTTCCTTTATTTTCGACGAATTTTTTTTTGGGGGGGGGGGAACTTTTAGCGTGCTTTTAAATTATCGCGAGAAATGTTCGAGGTTTAAGCGAACAATGGAAAAATTTCAGTGCATTTAAATTATCATGAAAATCTTACGAATATTATCACTAGACCGCGAATTTTTATGCATTTATGAAAAATCCGAACTCTCACTCATACTGAAATCTATACTCATACAAATACGAAGTCCAGTTATCACCGACACGCAAGTATTTTCATTTATACGACTTTAATATCTCGACAGATACCGCTTCTGAGGTTACACTCCCTCTATTCTCGTCGAAAAAATAATCTCAAGATATATTTTTTATAGTTTTGCAGTAAGCCTTGCAAAAGCTTCCCTTACAGATCTGATGTTGCGATAGTTTCATACGTAACGAGCGTGGACACATCTACTGATAGTTGAATAAAGGCACGACAGTTGTGTATGTGCACGTCGAATAATGAAAATGAAGCTCTAAAAGAGCTGACAACAAGTGTTCGTGTTTGTTAAGGAGAGTTTCTGGTCTGACTAGTAAAAACATATCGAGATATTCCATTCTATGTAATACAGCAACAGTGAAAATTGTGTATACGAGAATTTGTTTAACAATTCTTACACGTACGTTGGAAAAATTCGAAATTGACGTGAAAGATACGAAGTACGCAGAAATATGTATATAATACAGTTGCGTACATGTTAAAAAACGAACTAACCCTTCGTACTCGAAGATCTTTCCGGAAATCAGATTAATTTCTATATTCGATAGATTTTTATATTACACAAGGCCTTGTAACAGTTCATTAACACGTTGACTACCACGCCAGATTTACATGTTTTGCTCAGGGGGCCAGAAGAAAATTCTCATTATTCTAAGCATAGTATTATATTACGCTTTATTATTATTTTTTTTAAATTCAAAATAATGTCCAGTTAGCTATGATGTTCGAGATTTTTAGTCGACGATATTCGTTTTATTTTAATTATTCTAAACATTTCAGGCCTTCCGGTCACTGATGACCATCGCGGTGACAATCCCTATCCAGGTGACAATCTCTGGTCACAGGTGACCAACGTAGCAGTCAACGTGTTAAAGATTGCTTCTTTCAAACCATTTCACATGCTTAGGACCTGTTGCCCTGTGAAATCAATTTTTTACCAAGTAGTGAACGATAATGTCTCTTCTCAGTCGCCACTCGAGTAAAAAGTGTTAAAAGTGAGTATACACGAGTAATGAGAATTTTGAGGTTATCACAGCCTGGATTGCTCGAATTGTTCTTCGAGACTTCCGGGTTAGAACCGTGTCCAAGAAATGTTGAATTCCGACGATTCGCCAACATTCGTAATTAGCTTCATTAGGGTATCGAGAGACAACGATAATGTGGTGTGTCTTGTGGATTTGGTCTTGCAAGGGTACACGTCCATCTGAGAGTCTTTTACGATAGTTGAACTTTTCGGTAGTCCAGTTCTCTGCCTGCACCCTCAGTATCGTGTATACCGATAAATTTATTATCAATTGAATTAATTAAATTTATACCGATAATTTCGCGATAGTTTTACTCTCGAATAGATACATACCCTAACTGGTATTCACGTTGCAAATCATTGTTTACGAATTCAGTGGTTTTTCATTTTGTCAACGCTAAACAGTTAACCCTTTCATTGCACATTAGTGCCTATAGGCGTTTCGAAAATTTACTTGCACTATACTGTTCAAGCCTTCTACTAGCGCACTTATTGTTTAATTTAATCGTCAATTTTATCCTTTGCACACTTCTACCTTAATTTAGTCGTCAATTTTACCCTTTGCACGCATCCGCCTTAATTTAATAAACCGAATTTTTAAACGACACGGCCGAAACAACAAATTTTGCGGTCTTGGTTTAAAAATTTACACACACGTTACCTACTAAAATCTGCTGCAGCGAAAGGGTTAAAAGAACCTGAAGTTAGACGTTTGGATACCAGAATTTCAAAAAAGAAAATTATGTTCAACTACTTGAGAACTAAACGAGCGAAAACGAAACGTTAAATGTTACTTTGTTGCGTTTCAAGTAGGACCAGGCAGGATCAGGTAAACCATCTCTGCAATAGTCGTTGGTTTATTAAGATCTAAAACGTCTTTCGGCATCAGAGATACTAAAGGAGGCCAGTAATTGGCATTTGGTATGAAGAAAGTAACAGCTCTAGATAACTGAACAACTGCGCTAGAGGACTTTGAGTAGCGACGGAGCTGCGGGGTTCAGGGTTCTTCAGACACGTTTTCCCGTTAACTGATCACGCCGATGTTTTACACATATATTATTTCGTTAGGAATTAGAACGATTTTAAGGGGGTAAAATCGAAAAAATTCGAATTTCAAGAACGAGAACGATCCTAATATAGTCACATGCGTAATTTTACTGTTAACACAGCGAACACTTGCGTGAGTAATCGAAACTTTCATCTCCAGGAAAAGCATACTTCAATCGTCATAATTAAGTAAAGCGACGAAGACGGAAATCGTCGAGTAATGCACAAAAAATTCAGAGGAATCAGAGTACTTTTTATAATTGAACATTGTAGAATTTTAGTCATTTTTAATTTTTAATGTGATACTAATATATCAAATATCACATTACTGTACCAGATTTACAAGATTTCGTTTCACCTTTGAAATCTAATATACTCTATAAAATTATTCAAAATTAGTCTTAATTCTGAACATTGTTCGTATATAAAATACTTTCTATAGTTTCCCATGAAAAAAAAACTATTGCACTACCACTAAAAAAAAAAAATAAAAATAAAAATGAATGCTTGTTTACTAAGAAATAAAACCTCAGAAAACTATCACTTTCGTAACTTCTAAGAACGTTCGATATTCCCTTGAACAATTTACTCAGCTTCAGATCTCTGACAAAATTAAAAGAAAAAAAATTAATCATTCCCTTTCATATGACGATTCCCTTGCATCCCAAATCAAGATAAAATATTACAAAACCACGGATACTTTAATTTTCCCTAATAAATAATAATAACAACAATTAACAAGCTACACACGAAGTGAAACAAAGAGATAAGATTTTGAACGTTGCACAAGTAAATCTACTAGTACAGGAAAAACAACTTACCGGTAATGACGTCAGCTGTGGAAGGTAAGCCGGATCTTGAATTCCCCCCACGAGAAGTCGATCCGTGCGAGAATAATTCACCGTTTCAGTCTGGAGTGAAAATCACGTACATGTGCGCGCGCTATCACGCACACATACGTACACGTGCACATATGTGAGAATACCAACCAATCTATTTATAAATTCTATATCGATTTTAAAAACTTTTGCGGAACACGCTACTCCACATTATACTGTACGTCGCGCGAACTTCTGCTTCTCTCACAGGCTATTCCTTACACAGGCCTCTTTCTTTTTCCTTATCATTTCCCTTTTGCTTCCACTATTCACACTGTCCTCTTCATTTCTTCGTTGTGTGTCGTTTCTCCTTCTCCTTCTCCTTCTCCTTCTCCTTCTCCTTCTTCCTCTCCTTCTCCTTCTCCTTCTCCTTCTTCCTCTTCGTCTTCGTCTTCTTCTTCCTCTTCTCGTTCACCCCTCTTTCTTTCACACGTTCACACTTTCATGAATTCTACACAATTCGATTATCGTACACTCGCAACACAACTTAACCGACGTTTGAAATTTCTTTCTTGCGCTGTTGCTCCAGCGACGTTTTCTGCAGATAACAGTTGGAAAATCAAGAAATTAGTATTTGACGATGTTTGCGCCGTTACCGCTATAGTCGAATATATGGACGATATGTAAAGGGAGACGGGAGAAACAGCAGCACGGTTCGTATTACCTTCTTAGGAGCAGGAGAGAAAGAACTTCGATTGTAGGGTCACGGAAAATTTGAATCTGAGTTTTCTGTAAACTTAGACGTTGGATTAAGCTTGTTCGAACGAAAATCGAATTTTCTTTCTTTTTTTCTTAACGATATTGCTGAATTGTATTGATTCCCGACGTGAAACGAAGTTCAAAACTTTACTGCAGTTCTATTAACGAAACTTTTCTTCGTTTGTGATAATTAAAATTTTTTTTGTATTTAAATAAGCAATTATTCGGCTGTGTACAATATTTAAAGTAAACCTGACAATCGCCGCTCGTGTATCAAAGATATCCTATAATTTCGACTGCATAAAAAATTCGAAGAAAAACAGCTAATGTCATTTTGGATACCGATTCTCTCGATACATGTTTTTAGGAAAGTATACCTTCATTATTGTGGGGGAACGCGACGCGGCTTCTACACGACAAATTCTTTTTTGCATTATCCTCCCGTCAACATTTTTTAATTCCAATGTCTCACAATTCGATCATTTATTTACAAAAAACATTTTTCGGTTTTCAAGTGAGAAAAAGATTCTTTCTTGACAAGCAAAATAAAATATAAACATGTGAGTTACGTCCGTTTCAGAGAGAGAGAGAGAGAGAGAAACAGAGGAAACGAGATGAAATGAAAGCAAATAGAAGGAAGGAAGGGAGAGTGGGAGGGACAGAAGGAGAAAGGGTGGGGGATAAGAAAAGGTTAGTCGCGAAATATACCGCGTTGCCCTCGCTTGCGAATAACCAATTTTGTCGTTCTTTTTTTTTTTTAACCAACTAACCCTATCACCGATTAGGCGGAGCACGTTGCACTCCACTTGTTCTCACAACTTCCGGTACAGCTGTTCGCACAAAGGTCCACATATCTTTCAGTGCCCCGCTGCTCTCCACGAGAGTCTTGCTGGCTTCTATCTCTCTGTCTCCCGCTTTCTCTTTATCTACTAGCACTCACAATCAGTGCGGGTATACCACGTAAAAACACAATTGCTTGAAAATCTCATCACTGCCACGTGGCTCATGCTCAACCTGCACACTATATTCCACACGCGATCTTTCGTTGGAGTTAAAACCATTGTCATTTCCACTCTTGTTACCGGTACTAGTGACGTGTATACTGTTGCTGCCGTTACTTCTACTACTGCTACGACACTCGTTATCACTCCCACTATGATGTAAAGTTATCGACAAACTTGCTTTCATCGCGGTCCTATTGTGTCGTCGTCGATGAACCGTTATATCGCGTAGTTTCACCGAAAGCAAGGTTTCTTCGCTCGTTGCTTGCCTGACTAGAGCACAGTGCGTGCAAGACACACGCACTGTGCACGCTTCCCGAACACGTGAACCAGCGCCGCCACCAGTAAGAAATAGGATGACTTTCAAGATGGCAGGACGAGAAACACAAACACACGTATACACAAGAGCTGGCGGCCGCACTTACACAACCTTCTTCACGAGACTCGACGACGACGACGGCAGGCTGGCTATTGCGCGAAAGATAATCGAATCAATGTTCTTTTCTTCTTCTGAAAATTTATGCCATTCAATTTTCTTTTTACCACCACCATTTCCGGCACTATTCTTCTTCTTCTTGTTTTGCGTGTGTTTTCTGTGTTTCGTTTCCGTCCGTCTTCTCTGGTAAAAAAAAAAGCTTTCGTGTCGTAGAGGAATTGGTAGTTGTGTATCTTCCTCTCCTTACTGTTCAACCATAGTTTTCAGCGATTACATGAGTTATTCCGTGTAGTAGGTATCGGAATATATTTCATCGTTGGGCGTTACTTCGTTCTTGTATCTCTATTAGTGAGGTGACAATGGCAGCAACGACAATAGCCCGGCAGTGTTCCTATAAAACAAAACGTAACTTGTTAATATTTTTTTATTTATTACTATGTTAAATATTTTAACATTATGATTATAGAATTTCAAGATTAAACGGTGATTACCGATTATCTCAGGTGAGAGGAATAGTGAACGGTATCGTTAGAAATTCGTTAAAATACATTTAATACATGAACGTAATTTATCACGCGTATTTTAATTTATAACTACCTCGATATCAGTCTAAACTGGTTATTTTACATTGAACAATAAAGTCAATACTATGATAAATGGAAATCTTCTGAATTATAAATGCTATACGCTAATATATCATGTCGAAAATGAATATTCATTTATAATATTTATTAGTAATAGTTATATGTGTTGGTGATTATGAAAGTGATCTTAAAATCTAAAAAAATTGAATTTAATATTGGTGTATCGATTTGCGTTGCAATAATGTAGAAGCATTTTTGCAAAATAGTCGAAAATTGAACTCAACTGAACCTAAATATCTCGAAACGAAAAATATATACATACATATATGACAGGGCCACTTTCCTGATCATCTGCACACGCGATTTCCTAAAAATTCGTTAAACTTTGACCATGTTTTTCATCTATCCTATAAAATAGTAATATTTGTAATCAAAGAATGAAATTTATAAATTACGTGTAATTTATCCAAATAAAACGCTATCTCTTTCAAATTTAAAAGAGATAGAAGTTAAGAAACTGTGTGCAATTCAGTTCTTAAAGGTGTAACGAGATACAACGTAAGTATAATGTAATGAACATCTTTCTAACGAGATAATTTTTGTTTAGAAGCATATGAATTAACGATTAGAGTTTTCTCGCAAACGTAATTTTTCACGTAACATTCTTCTCGAACAATCGATATTTTATAAATCATTAATGACTATAAATAAATAAATTTCTTAATCAACTATATAGAAAAAAAAACTACTTCCGTTTCGTTTAAACCACAAAACAAACTTGAAAGATGTAAAAAACTTTCTTGATGTACATTTGAAAAAAGATCACGTTCGAAATAGAAATATGCCATCGAGCATACAATAGAAATGACTAATGTTCCTGGTAGAGCATACTGCTGAAGTTACTGTACATATAAATTGCACACGCTGCATCGAAAATTGACTCTTATAGTACCAGTAACAGAATATGTTCTGTTAGGTAATTATAAGTGATAAATAATTTTTGTCTATTAAGGTGCATTAGATAATATTAGTATCTTGAATACGTTTAACCTTTCTATAGATCTTTAAAGTAAGAATAGAGGTCTTTTACCTTGCAAAATAAAGGTATAGCTATGTTGCGTGAAGTATTAGTGGCGCATTTATAAGACTTGACTTATGAAAGATTACGAAACGACACAACGTTCGGCCAAAAAGATGGATGAACAAACATACACACTCGCACGCGCGCACACATACATACATACGTTACATTAAAACGCTTTCGTAACGAGATATAAGGATAAAAATTTTACTCATAAACAAACTAAATAAACTGATAATAAAAAAAAAAGAAACTAATAAAAATATAAGGTGACAATTTAGTATTGGAATATTTAATTTGTTGTATACGTAATAATGAAATAACACTGGCTACAGGGAAATTATAACAATTATCTTATTAAAAATAATAAAACACTAAGCCATATCAGTTTCAACATAATTATTAATATGTTTAATAAATATTTAATTTATTGAATAATTTCTCGTCTTGTATAATTTTTACTGAAAATAGTAATTCTATCTTTATGCTATTTGTAACGTTAGACATCACATGATGTTATCTACAAATTACCTCAGTGTTAAATATTGACTTCGGAAATAAACATAATTCCAGTAACATACATTCATTATTCCTTGGCCTCCCAGTATATTATACATTACTATTATTTAATAATACTGTAGAATTCGTATGTACTTTATACAAAAAAGAAAATCATCATTATCAATCAGTTAGTGTTAATATAATTTAACATTTTTTCACGAAAATGGTATATTATTTGAAACAATATATATTTGGAACTGAAAATTGTTAAGCAATTTCAGCGCAGAAAACACTTGTTCACGTTTCAAGTTTCAAAATTCATACAGATAATTTCTAATCATTTAAATTTGATTGTACAATTTATGAATACTTTCTCTTTATCGTGTAAAAGTTCAATTTTAAATATGTTACATTTATAAAATGCCTAATTTCTTGCAACATTCACTCTGTAACTAAGTTTTCTTCAATTTATTTATTTGTTTCTTATTAAATAGAATATAAAATTAGCACAAGACGTCACATAAGTTTGTCACATAAAACAGTAAAAAGTAAAAAAAAAAGGACTGAAAAAATTTGTTAAGTTTCTCTTCTTAATCTTTACATATACTTAATCTACAGTATACGTTAATGTTTTAACACTTTATTAAAGAGTTATTTTTACATGTTGCTACTCAACGGATTTACATGTTAAATTTGAGCCTATGCAGATAATACAAAGCACATGGTTTCTAGATTTGCCCTCCACGAACATGTAAAGTTTTATCGCAATCAACGTTTGACGCATCGTGAATATACAGGATGTACGCATTATTACTAGTCAGCGCTTTCCCGTAAATGGTAAGTATATGGGAAAAAATGGAAAAGGAAAAAATTGTACCAATACAATTGCATATGTCAATTTTTTATATTTGCACTATTTAAAAAAAAAAAAAAAAAAACCGAAGCTAACCTTTAATTGTTTATATGGAATGCAACATATTTTTTGGATGACATAAAAGCGAATGTCGATACGAATTCAGCCATGTGTGACACAATGACCTTCGAAGTCAAACAAGATCAGAAATGAAAGAAATTATTTAAACAGTTTGAACTTTTATTTTGATTACATTCGTAATAAATATGTATCATATATACTTTCTCTTCTATCAAATAATGAGGCATCACGATAAGATATTATGAAACTTTAAATTTGAAAAATTCGACACTACTTGTCATTTTAAAATACGAAATTGTAACAAGGCAGATGTTCTTTACTGTTTCGTCTGAGTATACTAAAACTACATACGCATTCAGAATAATGAATAGGTCTGTACTACGGAAAACGTAAGTAAACATTCCGACAGTCACTAAAAACAATACGACTGCACGCGTTATGTAGTCTTATCAATAAGACATACTTGTAAATACAGTATTACGAAATGTTCAAAATATTTCTTTCGTTCCCGACCTCGTATGACTTTGAAGGTCATTGTGTCACACATGATTGAATTCATTTTACCGTCGCTTTCATTCCATGTAAAAAAATATATAGCATTCCATTTGAAATATTAAAGGTGACCTTCGTTTTTCGAAAAATAGTGCAAATAGAGAAAATTGACATATGCTGTTGTGTTGGTTATAAAACACCGTAAAATATCTTCCTCTTTCATTTCATTCCTATACCATTCACGAAAAGAAAACGCTGACTTGTAATAACGCGAACACCCTATATACGCCTTAGACCGCGGTCACACTGAGCGTTGAAGCAACGAACGTTGCGACGGACGTTACACATTAAACTTTCGCTCGTAGAATTTTTCAGAAATGTTACATTTTCTTTCAATAATTTTATTTACTTACTTTCATCGTTTGATGTTTTTCGTTTTTTAAAAGGAGAAATACAAATTTTGCGAAAATATTATTTTAACGATATCCTAACCTCAAAAAAAAGGAAGTAGGAATCGAATTTTATCTGATGATATCGCGTCAACATAATGGGAACAATGTCTGCCCTCAAATTATAAGAAACATTTTATACTCTGCTCAAATATGTGACAGAACTGCGAGGAAGAAACCTTTTGTATAAAATAAATAATACGAACAGAGAGAAACGACTGAAATTCACCAAAATATATTAAAATAAACCGATGGAATTTTGGAAAAATATTTGGTTCAGATGGAAAAAAATTTTGTTTGGTGAAAACCTGATATTGAGCGTGAGTAAAAAAATCATCGACCGAGTGTTAAGCATGGCGGACAACATGTAATGGAATGGGGGTGTATCGCATACAATGGTGTTGGGAATATAGTGTCTATTGATGGGAATATAAATGGCTGACAAGTACATCGAGATGTTACGAGCTAATTTACAAGAAAGTGCTATTAAATTGGGCATGAAAGTAACGTAATACTACTTTCAGCAAGATAATGACCTGAGGCACACCGCTAGAACAATAAGAGAATGGTTGTTATACAATGTCCCTAAATAGTTGGTTACACCTCCGCAAAGTCCGGATATCAACCCAATTTATTAGATTTGAAAATATTGCAAATACGGAAAAGAAAAATATCTAATCAAACTGATCTACAAAAGGTGCTGCTTTCAGAAGAACGATAAAAAATATCAAAGGAAATTGCACAAAAATTGATGGAATCTATGCCGAGAAGAGTGGAAGCCATTATTGAAGCTGCAGGGATGCACACAAAATACTAATTGTAAGTACAGTGCAGAATCTAAATAATTATAAACTTACCGTTGTAATAATAAGTGTACAAATACTTTTTTGACTCTCAAATTTTTATATTTGTTGTATTACTTTTTCTATAATGCATTATTATAAATTGTTAATGAACACATTAATTCTGTATATAGTAGACTATTAATGGAAACAGTTTTTGTTAACGTATCATTTGTTTGTATAAGGTTATTGAAAAAAGCCAGGTGTATAAACACTTTTTGACCCACTGTATGTAACTCATGTGTGTTCCGAATATTCTTGAATTGAATTTTGAAAATCTTATAAAGTTTATATGGTTTTTAAAGAAGGAAATTGCATTTATCAGGAAAAACAAGAAAACCAGTAGTATATCGTATTACACAACTTTAATAAGGCATTGAAACAGATGGTGCACAATTGCAATGTTAAAAACACTTTACATTCTCAAAAGCTACTAAATAAAGATTTTTTAACAACGCAAATATAAATAACAAGTACACGCAAATAATTTTTGTTAAATAAATAAGAT